TATATTTGGTGCGAAACCCATGTATTTATACAAAGATGGCCTGAGGCTTTACAGATGGAAATTTTTGTTAAATAGTTGGTGGAAATGGAGAAATTCTTATTATTAAATATTTCATATGGAAACTTCGCTGAATATAAATTTAGCAAAGTTTGACATAGTTAGCCAAGATTAGATACAAAGATCAAATATTCATCACATGCTTTAAAATATAAGCATTTACGAACTTTTTTATGAATAAAATCATAAGATACAATTGTTGAATCAATATTTTCATGTCATCGTTTAGGCGCTCATTTTAAAGATTTCTTAAGCTTACATACTTTATTCTCATTTTCGAGTAAAATAAACCTTTTTGATTGTTTCATATTTACCTCATTTAGATATCCATTTAAGAAAGTCGTTTTTATATCCACTTGGTGAAGATAAATATCATGTATAGGTGCTAAAAAAATGTAAAATTTAAATCAAAGTTATTCAAGCTACGACTAGGGTACCTGTGGTCCAATGCCGGCAGATGAACCTTGGGCCCAGACCAATCCTTTTACTTATTATTATTATTGAGTGCATGATGTGATTTTCAACGTCAGGGTAGGAGATGTCGATGGCATTGACAAGGAGGAGAGAAATAAGATTGACAGACAAAATGGTGGCAAGTTCGGAAACTTTGAGGTCGGTCTAGATGGAATAACCGACAAGGGCACTGCAGATTTCGACCTCGAACTCGCCCCCGACCTCGCCCCCGTACCCAATCTGATTATCCGATTAATCGGGTAATCCGCACCCCGTTCGAGACGAGGCTCCGCAAGTATCGGGCTAGATAGGTATTTTTGCCATCCCCATACATGTTCAGGGTCATTTTCAGCTTGAGAAATAAATGAAATTTTTCTAATAACAGTTATCCTACTTCCTTCTACCAAGTAGATAGAAATAAGTGAAAAACCAATCTCATCATATCCTAAACTATTTATTCTACCAGTACAAACTCTATTACTTCATTGAGGTTTATTGGATTCATTAATGTCACTCTATTACTTCATTGAGGTTCATTGGATTCATTAATGTCACTACGACTCTACGAGATGATTCTTCTAGTGGTATACTAGAATAGGAACCTCCATGAGTTTCCTTAAAATTTGAGAATCCTTTTTCGATGTTAATAAACTCTCAAAAAATTCAACTTAGCGGGATTCTATTATCAAATTGCATTCTAGGTTTAGAAGTCAACATGCCTTACTATTTAAACCATGTCCTACAAAGGCGCGTTTAATACCTCTTGTGCCTAGCTTTATTCTTGTTGGATCCATGTTCTTACAGTATGCAGAACACCCCACATTCTAAAGTATTCAATATTTGATTTTTTACCTTTTGATTACTCATATGGAGAAGCTTATTTCTTTTCATAGTAACAAGATTTATAATATAAACGCACTACCTAAAATTTCCCATAATGGCAAACTAACGTTTAATAACATAGCATTCATCATTTCTAAAAATCTTCTATTCTTTTTTTGAACCATACCATTTTGTTAGGGTGTACGAGGTACAAAACAATGATGTATTATTTTAAGTTCACCAAAACTATTGAATTTACTAGAGAAATATCCTCATCTTCTATCACTTTTAAGTATTTTAACCCCCGTTTGGCCCCATGATTTGATGTTATAATTTTTGAAATAGTGTTTTTTTGAATAATGTGTTATTGACAAAGAAGGATTTATTTATTTATTTATGTATAATATTATTCTATTGAAAAATGTGTGATTAAAAAGAAAAAAAATGTATTATAAATTTAATGGAGCTCAAACGGGGTTTAATCTTTTTATTTAATTGATTTTGAGCCTCGATTTATACATATTAAATGTTTTATCTTTATGATTTAGCTACTATTTGACAACTATTATTTCAAAACTTTTTAATTTTCATACTCATTTTCAACCAAACATTTTTTGTAATTAAATATTTAACACGTAAACCCAAAACTCTTCCCTACTTTTTAACCACATTCTTCAAAAAAATCACAATTCAAAACTCTGTTTTCTCAAAGTAATCGGCATCAAACATGAGCTTAATAAGTATACAAAAGTGCATCTAGAAAAATCAAAATACATATTTCCATGCATATCATTCAATTCACATATGTCGGAATATATAAGTTCAAATAATTATGAAGTTTCATAGTTTTCTGTAATTTTAGATTTGAGTCACACTCTCTAAAAACTCATTTTATCTCAAACTCATTTTTAGTCACACATTCTACTAATAAAAAAACTTTGTACGAAAATTCAAAACTTATCGTTACTTTTTTAATCACACATCCCCTAAGAAAAAATCACTATTACAAAACTCATTTTTACAAAAAAAAATTGTGCTCAAATTGAGGCTTAATACATATTTCACATTTATCATGATCCTTTACGTTTCAGGAAAGAAAACCACATTTGATCATTCCTTTTCATACAACTAGATACGTGTGCTAATGTACTAACCAACAATATAAGCAAAAGGACTTTATTGTTCATTTCATTATCAATAGTACATAATTTGATCGCTTCTTCACCTTAAAAGCCTTTTTCCAATAAAATTGCCATTTCGAGACGATACAAGTTTTCCCAATTCATACACAACTTTGATCCTGAATTTACCCAAAAAATCTCCGCTTTCTAACTTCCTATTCATATTTGGAATGTGAAGTACATTGGTTAGAGTAATCTTCCTTTTAGATGTGAAGACAAGCTCCACATCCCCTTCGCCAATAACTTTTGAACGGTCTTCATTTTCCACGTGTATTTCTCGTCCACCATTAACTTCAAAATAGGTCTTAAAAAGAGACCTATAATAAGGGAAAAGCACCATTGTGCAAGTATCCACCACTTTCCTCTTCCTTGTTGGCGTACAATGGGAATTCTCTTAAGTTCATAAGTTGGGTCATTCAAATGATAATGATCCATGTCATAAAAGGTTTAATATGCCCTCATTCAAGTGATATTAGAGCTAGGATCATGAATTCATGTAACAAGAGCTTAGTGTTGATAGACGTATTGTTGGGATTGAAAGGATCTTTCTTACACACATCGGTTGGAGTCATTCTAATGATGGTGATAGAATGCCATAAAAAAATTAACTTGTCTTCACTGAACATCAATTGATTTTCAAGTGAGATGGTCAAAACATGATCCTAACATTCTTTTAATGTCCTTTTGTGTCTAAATTCTCGAGCACGATCCCTTAGACTTCTTTTTAACCTCTTTAAGACCTAGAGACTTTCACTTTTTTGGCCTTCATTTGATTGCTCGATGTTGTTCACGACATTAGCTTTTGAAGGGTCATTATGAGAACTTTCATTCTTAGCTCTTGCTCTTGATTATTTCTCAATACAAATATGTTTTTTTAATCAGTTTCAATGAAAAATCTCCAAAATTGTGAAGTAACCCCGTCAAGTCGATGGTAACTTTGCAATTATACCACCAACTAGGAAAAACTCGAAAAGTTCTATTTTCACCCTTTCAACTTCTTAACAATGATTCAGAGTTACTAAATTTGTGGTCGCAAGGGAATATCTTCAAGCACTTTAAAATATAAGTACTTCGAAGCCAAAATCCCTTTCGGTACCTTCTTCCACTTCATACTTGTTTTCAAGTGCTTCCCAAATTCATTAGAGTAAGAAGTGTTGACGTAGAGGTGATACAAGCGATTCGATCAAGCATTTAGAATGTCACATTAACATATCACATTGACATATCAATTCATCTTCTTATCCTTTCGACCCTTACTCCATGATTATAGCTGCTGCTTCTGGAATTAACGTCAAGTTCAGATCGAACACACAGAAGATCTTCAATGTTATTAGAAGGAATTTGAACTTATCTTGCCAACTAGTTATTTTTGATCCATTAAACCTATCAAGTCTAACCAAATCTTTATTCATCATCTTGATGGGATCATTTCATTCTCTATTTTGTAATAAGGCTTTCAGATTTGAGCTTTACAAAAGGAATGAAGAATGGAAATTGAAACAAGAATCTTTCCAATAAAGAACGAAAGAAGATCGGAATCAGAAGCTCGAACACGTTGAAAAACATTATTCTGAAAGTTTCATTTGCCTATTCTCGCCTACGAGATTGCTTTAAGGAATCATCCACAAATAGCCCAAATGATTAATCCGCGTCTTAATGAGTTTGCGTCAAGCAATAAGCTAAAAACTCAGATGAACAAAGAACAAATATAAAACTAGATTTTATGATTTGAACGTGTTGAAAGATCAAAATCTGAATGATATGTTGTACGTGTGAGAATCTTTCATGAAATACAACTATTTTTATAATTACATCTATACAAGAAATCTCCATGAAAAGACATTTAACATCATATTTAAGAAATTTAAATTTTGAATTTTCCGCAGGTTGCAGGAGGTGTCTGCTCAAGCAGGCTTTCTTCTCGCTTGAGCAGACAGAGGCCTCCGCGCAAGCGAAGCTATATACTTCTTTTCTCTATATAATTGAATAACTCCAATTTAAACTCAACCAACCAATCTATTTAATCAGAAACTGAGACCAAGGTAAACTAGAATCTTATAACATCGTGATTCCATTGATCCTCATTCATGAAATTCTTCATTAGTGAAACTTTCTGCTGTAACAACCAAAATGAATAAGTAGAATATGAAAAGGGGTAAAAGTCCTATATTTTTAATCTGTCCTACAAGTAAAGGTTCATTGCATAACATGCACACGGTTTTCCCGATAGTTGATTAATTTGCCCGGTGTTCATATATGCATTAATTTCCCCTTTCTTTAGCCACATTATAACTGAACTTTTCCGTCTTCAGCCATCGGTAAAGACAAGGTGGGTGGGTGAGAGCACAAAGGAGGGAGAGAGAGGGAGATGACACTTTAATTGCAGTATTAGAACTATTTGGCTACAAGCAATAAATCATCAAGTGCAACAATAATTTAAACCAAAGATTACTTTCGCAGTAATGCATATAAAATAATAAAGAGAAATGAAAAAGAGAGACTAACAAATTGGTGAAAATTAGCTTCTAAAGTTGGAAATTCAGCAAACAAGTAGACAAGAAAGCAGAATACTGGCTACAAGCAGCAGTTTTAATTCAAAAAATAAAAAGCAACACTAACAATAAATAGAAAAACACCCAAATGCTAAAAACACAAACTTAACTACTCATTATCCGGCTTTGGTGCTTCCTTGATCTCCTCAGAACCATCATCCTATATCAGAAGAATAAGCAGTGACATTCATTAAACTCGTTCTTGTAATAGCCCTGGACGCACTACAGAAGGAAAGAACAGAAAACTTTACCTGCATATCGGAAGTCCACAAAGTGAGGTTATCACGGAGAAGTTGCATGATCAGAGTGCTATCCTTGTAAGACTCCTCTCCAAGAGTGTCCAATTCCGCAATTGCCTCGTCAAAAGCCTAACCAATGAGAAATGAATATTAAACCACAATACATCATCACCTTCAACTGAAAGAAGCCTAATTCAATTACATATTGAATTTGTATGCTGTTCACCTCTTAGTCTGAATTAATATTTCATTTGGGGTTAACAAACAACAAAGGGATTTGAGATAAAAGTTTCATTATATTATAAACCTGTTTGGCAAGATTACAAGCACGATCAGGAGAATTCAAAATCTCATAGTAAAAGACTGAGAAATTGAGCGCTAGTCCAAGCCGGATTGGATGTGTTGGGGCAAGCTCAGCAATCGCAATGTCCTGTAAACACCAGAAATGTTTAGCAAATAAATTCAAAATTTGCATCAATGTGATCAAATTATTTCATTTGCTGCGTGGAACCCCATCTACTGCAAAATAAATAAATAAAAGAATCAAACTTTTCATCATAAGAGAGAAGAAATTAAAAGCCAAACTATGTATATATAAACTTCAACATAATAAATCTGAGTAAAATGAAACTTCACTGCAACATTTTCACGAAAATGCTAATCATGGAGAAGAAATTATATCCACGATTCAAAAATAAGTAATAAGTCAAATAAAATACAATGATCCATTATACTTTTTCCGGTTTCACATAAAATCAACAGTTTTCCATAAATTAATAAATACAGAGTGCCGCTTTAATACTTTACCCATGGGAAGAATTTTAAATTATGAAAATCGATCTAAATTTTAAATCTTAGCAATAATCCCAACAAATCTCATCAAATAAATTCCATAGTAAAACCTAAAGTCTAAAAGCTCGATCTAAGGACTTATGCCACATTATTCGCTAGATCACAAACAATTAAATATAATATTAATATATAAAGACTGGAAAAAAAATAATAAAAAGAAAAGCGAGAAACCTAACCTGAGCCGATTTGTAAGCCGAGAGAGTGTTTTCGGCGGCCTCTTTCCGCTCGGCACCAGTCTTAAACTCTGCCAAGTAGCGGTGATAATCACCCTTCATCTTCAAGTAGAAGACCTTGGAGTCACCACTGGAGGCGGATCCGATGAGTTTTGAGTCGAGAAGTTTCAAAATCCCATCGCAGATGTTTGAGAGCTCTGACTCGATCTTAGATCTGTAACCCTTGATGGCTGAAACGTGGCTCTCGTTGCCCCGGCTCTCCTCCTTCTGCTCGATCGACGATATGATCCTCCATGAAGCTCGGCGAGCGCCAATAACGTTCTTGTAGGCCACGGAGAGGAGGTTACGCTCCTCAACCGTCAATTCCTCGCCGCCTTCTGACGCCGCGACGACTTTCTCCATGAACTCCACCATCTCTTCGTAACGCTCGGCCTGCTCGGCCAGCTTGGCCATGTACACGCTCTCCTCCCGTGGGGATGCCATTGATAAAGGGATTTCTAGAGAGAGAAAGGGACAAGTTTTCCTACAGAGCGCGTGTGTGTGAGTGGATTAACACGAAGTAGTGTTTTTGTATTGTGTGATGTTTCTCTTTTTCCTTTTTCCAGTTCGAAAAGATTTTTCATTTTCAACACCCTTTTTTGAATTATGTTTTGGGCCTTGAGGTGTAGATATCCCAGGATTTGTCAAGCCCAGATTAGTAGATGTCCTGTCTGTATTATGACGGATGGGCTTTGGCCTCTCAATTTTGGTGTGAGCATATACATATTCCAAATATTTAATGGGAAAAAAAAATCACATTTAACCAATAAAAATAAAACAATTCATGATATATTATGCTCCTGCTTGATAAGGATTAAAATAATTTTTAGTAAATTTGGATAAAAATTGAAATGTACAACTGAGAAGTTTGGGTTCCGTAAAATATTTTATTAAAATTAATTGTTTATTTTGACTTAAATTAAAATCTGATTTGTAATTTTTACCAAACAATGGCTACATGATATTTTATTATATATACTCAATGTTATAAAAAAAAAATCAAAATTATTGACTTCCACAATTCTCCTATTTTTTTTGTAACTGAAAGACATCAATAGCTACGAACAAACAAACCATTATTTTTTCCCAGAATCAATAATTTTTAATATGTCCTACATATATAAATGAGTGTAGCATTGGTGGGACATGCGTCAGTCATATATTTCCTCTTGTACTTTTTTTTATGTTGTTTCTGGCTTGAACCATATTGTTTCTCCATCATTTTTGGCTAGCCCATTCCTTTGCTACTGATTGTGTGAGAAGGCATGGTTTCTCTCCCTAGTTCACCCTTAATTCATCGAGTTTTTCTCTGATTCTCTACCCTGAAAATTGCAATTTGTAAACTTTTCTAATTCCATATGGTTGGAGATTCATTGAAATTTTAGCGACATCATTTGCCTACTTCAACTTCAACTTCAAGGTAACGTGATTGATTAAATTTACGAAATGGGTGTAATGCCAAACTCATACAATCCATTCCTCTCTTTAGTTGTTAAGATTTGTCTTTAATGGTGAATTGAAGTAGTTTGGTTTGTAGTTCTAATTGATTGTTGTCAAAATATTTGATTAATTGCCTAAGTGTACCTTCAAACTGATTTTGATAATATGTACCAGGATTAAAGTTCATTTTGTTTATAGATTGTTTGCTTATTTCATATTTCATTTGCTCAGTTCATTTTGTACATCATTGGTGAGAATGTTGTTTATATGCTGAAGAGAATAAAAACATTTATTTTAACAGAATGCCAAAAAAAAAAAAAATACAGAGAGCAAAAGCTCCGTGCGCTCTGAGCGTTGGCGGGACACGCGTCAGTCATATATTTCATCTTGCACTTATTATTATTATTATTATTTTTTATTGTTTCTGGCTTGAACCATATCGTTTCTCCATCATTTTCTGCTAGCTCATTCCTCTGCCATTGATAGTGTAAGAAGGCATGGTTTCTCTCCTTGGTTTATACCCTAATTCATCGAGTTCTTTTCTGATTCTCTACCCTAACAATTGCAATTTGTATACTTTTACATTTCCATACGGTTGGAGATTCATCGAAATTTTAGAGACATCATTTGCCTACTTCAACTTCAGCTTCAAGGTAATGTGATTGATTAATTTTATAAAATGGGTGTAATGTTGAACTCATACAATCCATTCATCTCTTTAGTTGTTAAGATTTGTCTTTAATGGTGAATTGAAGTAGTTTGATTAGTAGTTCTAATTGATTGTTGTCAAAGTATTTGATCAATTGCCGGAGTGTACCTTCAAACCGACTTTGGTAATATGTATTAGGATTAAAGTTCATTTTGTTTATAGATTGTTTGCTTATTTCATATTTCATTTGCTCAGTTCATTTTGTACATTGTTGGTGAGAATGTTGTTTATGTGCTAAGGAGAATAAAAACATTTATTTTAACAGAATGCCAAAAAATGGAGAAAAAAATAATAATGAAAAAAATACAGAGAGCAGAAGCTCCGTGCGAAAATTTTTTTCCCACGCTATACAGCTTCTCTACCTCTTTCTTGCTATTTTTTCCCTTGATTTTTGGGTAGCTCACGGTTCCTTTCTTGTATATTAGAAACTATTTAAAAATATAAAATTTCCTTTTGTTCTTGAAACTTCTTTGTGAGTTCTGTAAGATTTTTAACTGGGATTTTTTAGTTTAATTTATGTTTGGCGTTGATTACTTTGAGAATTTAAAGCTCTTTTTTCCTTCTCATCTAGATTTCAAGCAGATAAACTAGGTTGAATTTAGGTTATTTCCTTCTTTTTCTTTTTCCTTTGTATAGGTTTGGCTATTGTTCTTGTGAATTATTGCTGGATTTGCAGTCTACAATTGAAGGTAGCTCTCTCTCTCTCATGTGGATTTTAATAGTGGTTATTTTACTTACCGATGTCTTTCTTCAATTGTTCATTATAGTCCAAAGCATGGCATTATAAATGAGAAACTCCACGAGTAATTCACATAGGTTATTTCAAGAAAGATTTTTTATTTTTTATTTTTGGTTTAGTTGTTTGTGTGATGGATTCTGCTACAAAACAAGCTCAAAATTCACGTCGACGAGAACCATACGCACAAACACGACAATCACGACAAAAACGTTAGCTGAATTCTCTGTCAAAAAGAGCAGTCACTTCTCATGATCCACAAGCACAGAAGACAGGTATTTATATGAATTCCATCTTTAGCTTGGTTATATTTTTCCTATTAAAATTTTCTTATATTTGCTTTATTTGTTGTATAAATGATCCCGTTCGTCCATCTGAGAGGTTTGGAAGTGCTCCTGAAGAAACCGAAAGAGGTTGGTTATACTTTCACTTTATTCTTTCAGTGTTCCCTTGAGCTGAAATTTGTAGATTGTAATCAATTGCAAATTCTGTATTTTCTAGGTGTTGTTTTCGCACTCAAATAAAATAGTTCAAATATACATATATAACAACAAATTCCAACCCATTGTTATTTGTTACCCGTTCCGACATTTTGTAATTTCTGTGGAGCAAAAAAATTTAAAGGATAAAGTAAAGGTTTTTGCTATTCTGATGGAACCATTCAACTAAGAATTAGTGATGTACCTCAGGAATTGTATGATTTATTTATATCCCCATCTGACGAGTCAGTTGAATTTAGGACTTATATTCGAAGTTATAATTGTAGATTTATGTTTACTTATTTTGGAGTAAAATATGATAAGGATTTATGCAGAAGAAACAAAGAAATATATAATTTTAGAATTCAGGGACAAATATATTATTACTTGAATAATCTTCTTTCTATGGATTCTAAGCCTTCTTTTTTACAGCTTTATTTGTACAACACTGAAATTGAGATACAAAATCGATTGAAAATATTGATTGGATTATCTCAATCAATTATGGAGAAATTACATCGCATCTTAAAGATTAATCCTTACACAAAATTCTTTAGAAGTTTAACTAATACTCTTAATTTACAGAGTCATTGTATAAAAATTGTATCTAAATATGGATCAAAGAGTTTACAATTCTTCAACAACATCGCAAGTTGCTGCTATCTTGGTAGATAATGGAACATCGAAAAAATGTTTGAAATCGTGATATATTTATTTATGCTCATTCTGGTAGTGAACACAGAGTGCTTTACTATTTTGGATGTTATGACCCTCTTCAGTACCTTTTGTTATTTCCTAATGATGAACATGGCTGGCACCAGGGCATTGAAAGAGTGAATAAATTGCATGTGGATGATGATATTTCTTGCATACAACCGTTGATTGATGCACTTATGTTGATTCTCCACAATAATTGTTGAATAATGAAATGGTAGGTTTGACGATGAATTATTGGTTTCTTTTAAGATTTACGATTATGTATTAGTCTATTTTCTAATTGTATTTTTTGTTTATGTTTGATGCATCTTAAGTCTTGCAATAGAAGCGGAAAAGATGCCAGGTCTCTTGTCGTGAGTATTATTGTTATAAAATACAAGTAAGGTCATTAGATAACTCTATTCTATTACGTGTTGGTAGACTTTTCCAACAATATGTGGTTGACATGTATGTTAAAGTTGAATCTTCTAGATTGAATTACTTCTGTAATAATCAAACAGTAATACGTAGTGAGTTTTATCAAGGAATTGTTGATAGTATGCAAAATGGTGAAACTAGAGGATCCAACGTAGGTAAGAATACTATTTTATCATCCTCATTCATTGGTGGTCCTAGGGATATGAATAAAAGATACATAGATGCAATGGCATTGGTCCAAAAATTTGGGAAACCTGATTATTTTTAACTATTACATGCAATTCGAATTGACCTGAAATAAGGTGAGAATTAGAGTATTGTGATGAGGTTCAAAATAGACCTGATTTGGTCTCGTGAGTTTTTAGGGCAAAGTTAGAAGAGTTAAAAAAAGATTTATTCAAAAAATAATTATTTGGACATGTGGCTACGTATATATATGTTATAAAGTTCCAAAAGAGAGGTTTACCACATGCTCACTTTCTAATTATACTTAAATCGGGTTCCAAAATTAGCTCTCTTGAGAATGTCGACAGGATAGTATCTTCTGAAATCCCTGATAGTACAAAGTATCCTTATTTGCATTCCATTGTTGTTAAACACATGATGCATGGTCCTTGTGGTTCTTTAAATCCAGACAATGTGTGTATGCAAGGTGGTGGAGCATGTAGAGGTCATTATCCACATAAATACAATGCACACACTTCTTTGGATGAGAATTCTTATCCTAAATATAGAAGACGTGACAATGACATTAGGGTTAAAGTTAGAAAACATTCTCTTGATAATAGGTGACTTATAATTCTTATCTGTTAGCTAAATACGATTGTCATATTAATATAGAAATATGTTCAACAATAAAAGCTGTAAAATATTTGTATAAATATGATTACAAAAGATATGACAAAGTGAGCTTTTCTATTAATAATCATAATGAATTATATTTTTTTGGATGAAATATAAAAATTCCAATTCAATAGATGGATCTCTCCCCCTGAAACAATGAGGAGGATCTATGGATTTACCATGTATGAAATGTATCCGTTTGTTATTTCATTACAATTACACCTAGAAAATCAGCAATTAATAATGTATAAAAATATAGATGATCTTCCTAGAGTTATCACACATACTTTTTTCTAGAAAACTATACTAACTGAATTTTTTACAATGAATGCTACAAACGAAGGAGCAAGAAAACTCTTGTACAGAGAATTTCCTGAACAATTTGTGTGGGATGGACATCGTAAATGTTTGACTATTAGAAAAAAAAAAAAAAGAATGGGTGCTGTGGTTGGAAGGATTGTGTCAGCAAGTCCTGGTGAGGGTGAAAGGTATTACTTGCGAATATTGTTAAACCACATTAGAGGACCCTTATCCTTTAAAAGTTTGAAGTTCGTTAATGGCATTTCTGTAAAAACTTTTCGTGAGGCTGCACTATTACAAGGTTTAATTAGAGGGAATGACAATTGTGAATTGTGTTTGCAAGAAGCTTGTACTTATCAAATGTCAGATTCACTCCGTCGGTTATTTGCTACTATTTTAGCATTGTGTAGTCCTGATGATCCAAAAAAACTATGGCATGATTTAAAGGATCTATGTTAAAAGATTATGTTTTTAAAAAAAATGTGAGTTCGGATAATGCAGAAGTAAAAGCAATGGAGTCTATAAATTCATTCTTAAAACCTCTTGGCAAATCTTTAAATGATTATGGATTAGGTGTTTATCATATTAATCTCCAGCAACAGAAGAAAATGTTAGAGAGAATGTTAGTGAATAATTAGAACTCTCAATATCTACAGATGATCTTCTTTGTGCAGATAAGTTAAACCAAGAGCACAGAGCTGCTTATGATGCAATACTTGATAAAATCTTCCATAATATTGGTGATATGTTTTTTATTGATGGTCCGGGTGGAAAAGCGAAAACTTTTTTGTATCGTGGATTGCTTACAGCTGTTAGGTTAAAAAATCTAGTTGCTCTAGCAACTGCATCTTCAGGAGTCGCTGTAGGCTTGTTACTGAAGGTTGAACGGCGCATTCAAGGTTTAAAATTCCACTTTATATTCATAGTGATAGTATATGTTCAGTCTATAATGACCCGGACCTCTCACCCAAGCCGTTAACTTACGTACTGTCCGCAAGGCCCACTTATCCCTCACGACTTTCTTCGCGTCCCCCAAGATTCGAATCCTGGGGGATGCAAAGAAAGCCGTGAGGGATAAGTAGGCGCAAGACCCACCTAAAGCTGACAGTACGTAAACTAATGACTTGGGCGAGAGGTCCAGGTCATTACACAGTCAGTAAACAATCTGTTCTAGCTGATCTACTTAGGATGACATGTTTAATTATTTGGGACAAAGCTCCAATGATTAATTCTCAAGCTATTGAAGCTTTAGACAAAATGTTAAGAGATATAACTGATGTTGAATTACCGTTTGGTGGGAACGTAGTTGTTTTGGATGGAAATTTTCAACAAATTTTACTTCTTGTTCAGCAAGGGAGCAAAGAAGATATAATTGCATCAAGTCTTGTTAACTCTTATCTATGGCCCCTTTTTACAAAGGTCAAATTACATCAAAATATGCGAGCACGCTTAGATCCTCATTTTTCAGAATATTTACTTAAGATCGGCAATGGAACAGAAAATAAGCATTCTTGTAATATGATTAAACTTTGGTTTTGTATGACTCTGGATTATGAAGAAGATGATATTTCGTTACAAAAGCTATTGATATTGGATTTTCGAAAATAGCTAACTATTCAAAGAACTTTCCACACATGATGAATCGGGTTATTTTAGCACCTAAAAATGAGCATGTCGATGATTTTAATAATATTCTCATAGAATGTTTCCCAGCAGCTTCGATGAAATGTTAGATAGGACAGGAGAGTACGCGCAAGAAGATTTTTTCAATTCGTTAACCCTAAATGATATACCACCATATGAATTGGTATTGAAGATCGACTGTTCCATAATATTACTCCAGAATATTAATCATGCAGAAGGATTGTGTAATGGAACAAGATTGATATGTCGAGACTTACAACGGAATGTCATCCATGCAGAAATTGCTACTGGAAAATATACTGGTAATAAAGTATTTTTACCCGTATCTCTTTTATTCCACTAGAGCGTGATAAGATTTTATTTCCATTTAAAATAACACAATTTTCAGTACGCCCATATTTTGCAATGACTATCAACAAATCCCATGGACAAACTTTTGACTATGTTGAAGTATATCTTCCACATCTAGTATTTTTGCACGGACAATTATATGTTGCGCTGTCAAGAGCAAAAACAAGTGCATGTATTAAAATTCTTGCCAAATTAATGCTTGACGATCAAATCCATGCTAAATGTACTAAGAATGTTGTTTTCGATGAAGTTCTAACTTTAGTTTAATTTTCTTTGTTCCAAAATGTTGTTTAGATGGTTATTTTCTAAAATTGTATTCATAGAAATACACCGATTTAACTTCTAAACAATGTTGTCATTTTGAATTTTTATTACATCTACTATTGGCTCTAAATCCACGAATCTTATAAATCCTATTGCATTACTATGCTTCTTTCTTCTTATATAAAAATTTGTATAAATTATTTTTTGTTTTATTCCCCTAGTCTTTACTTGAAAAATTAGCTATTCATCTCTGCAATTCTGTTGTTCGCCCGAGAGGAAAATTTTTGTAATAAGGATTCAGAAGAGTACAAGAGGTTAGTTATTCTTGGATGTTGTTGTTGATTTCCATTATATCTTGTTTCCTAATATCTTATTCATTGTTTACTCATTTATGGTCTTAATAATAAATAGGGTTGCAAGAGTGACTTTCCTCATTTTGTCAAACCTCTCGAAAGGATTGTGGATATACTGGCTGTGGTTTGGGGTGCTATTTCTCATCTTCACTTCGCCAGCGATGGTCTAAGCTTCGCATTTGAGAACTTTCATGCATTACCCAAAAGAAATTGGCGAACTTGTTGAGGAAATCAAAGAACCAGGTTAAATTTGCCCCTTCTAATCCAGTCTGCTCTCAATTCCTTAAGCATTATTTCTCGTTACTAGGTTAGTTATCTTATCACTTCTAACTATGTATATGGTGGTACATTGAGCTCATGGTGCTGCTTACAATTTTCTCATACAATGTGAATACATTCAAAATCATTTGCATACTCTACGGTTAGTGTTGTGTTTTGCTCTTTCTCTCACATCATCAGCATTAGAAAAATATGGAGGAATTAAATTCTTACAACAACATATTCAAAAGAGAGAAGGAAACAAAGGTGCATAATAATTAAGGACGCTACATGACCTAATTACTTTAAATTTCTTACATGACTTTCCTTCTAAGACAAGATGTTCATGTTCTTGAACTATCTATTACAATCGACATCAAGATGAATAAGAATGTAAAAAATATTTCTTGAAACAAATATCCGTTGCAACCTTCCTTCTATATATGCTCATCCTGCCTAGTAAAACAGTTTCTATTGGATGTTTTAGGATGAAACATTCGATGTATTTAAGTACAAAGATTGCGCAATTTGGCCAACCAAATAAACAAGGAGTTGTGTTAGATTAGATTAGTGCTGTGATCAAATTAGCTAGAAAAATTGAAAATTAGGGTAGATAATAAATAATTTAAATACTCACCCATTGTTTGTGTAGGGTTGGTAAGGCATAATCTCCATCTGCGTTTGTTTGTTTATATATATTTTCTTATATCACTTTTGGAGACTGAAAAAAATAACAGTTTTTGGACCAAACCTTGTGTTGCAATTACATGAGCTTTAACTTCTTCTGGTGTGTGAGGACTATTGCTGCAATCATATATTTGGAACTTCCACTCACGAATATTAATATGAAAAAGGTACCAATTATTGCTGGGGTATGAACATGGAATTAGTAGATAGTTGCATGTCATCCATGGACGACCAGCTTTAGGTAATCTACCGTTTACATACTCCTTTAAATTAATTTCAATTGTCTGATCTTTACCATTAACTCTTACTTCTGAGTTTGCATACCAGAGCATCTAACGAACGCATTCGATTTGAAATTCAAAGTCCATAATAGCATATTCTTTGGAAACAAGTGAGCAGTCGCTGTCTCAGCAGTTTTAACTCCACTTCAATGTTCTAATGAAATAAATAGGCATCAATTAGATATATAATAAGCTAATAAAATTTGGTGTAATTACTAAACTTCACTTACCGCAATACTTATATTTTTTGTTATATCCAATAGGTTCTTCAACGTATCTCTTCCGTACATATTGTTGCATCCATCATCCCAGTATGTCCTGTGCAACAAATTTAAGTTAGCATTAAGTGAGTCGTGACAAAATTATGGTAATTAAGTCAACAAAGTAAAATGAAATTTCTTACTCAGATGGATGTCTTGCAATCCAATCTCTAATTGTTGTGTATCTCTTCATGAGATAATCTTCTAAAGGATAAATTGTAGGTGAAGATTATACCTTTTTCCCTTTATTTTTTCTTTCTTTTCTCAATCTTTCAAAACTTGTTGTTGTTGAAATATTGGAGTTGGCATTTGTTGAGTGCTAGGAATTGAAGTACTTACAATTTTTTGAGATGTCCATAATAGCATTGATTTAGTAGTAGGAATTGAAGCACTTACAGGAAGATCTTGCTGCATGAAATCTATAATTGCTTCCATATTTGATTTCCAATCATGTAATTTGTTCAGGATACCTTCATTTTTTTCATCGATATAAGATCTCACCGAATTTATGCTGGCATCCACATAAGATTCCATGCTCGATTGTATGCTTTAATAATGATTTTCTTGCCACTTTTGTTGATCTTCCTGCCATTTTTTATGTTGTTGAAAAAGTTATTTTTGGTTTTCAAGAAGTGCATGATAATGAACTTCTTGTTGTTCTTTTAGATCGCTACACAGATGAGTAACATCCGATACTATGTGTTGCCTGTGTGCAGTCAACATTTCCTCCATTTCTTTTCTGGTTATGTAGTCACAATCGTCAAAAGAAGACGCAAAACTAGGTCCAACTCCAACTGAAACATGTGTTGTTGCACTACATGGAATGGTGGTTTCTTTTGCACAGAGGTTATCTAGAATTTGTTGTAGTGCTACGTTGTTCATGTTCCTATTCACGATAACATCTAATATCCTGTGTTCGTTGTCTAATGGCAATGCTAGAGTTGTGTACCATGGTGTTTGCAGTTCTTCTTCTAATGGTTGTAGCATTGGAATAGCATGGATCTGTATAATCAAATATTAGAATAATATCTTCTTTGTATAATTAAATACATATAATTATAAATTGATAAAAAATATATTGTACCTCTTTGTTGGCTAGAAATCATTTGACTATTCTCTCTGTTAAATAAGATTTGTGTTTCCATTTATGCATTCTTAGAACCTGTACTATTTTGTATCTTCTGCGTCCAAATTTTTCTCCCGTTTCAGGAAATGCTTTATAGATCCAATACTATTAGCATAGTTGAGAATGGGTATTAGATCTATACAGTTTTTTTACTTCAATAAATTACAAAGAATGAGCAATAGAAAATAGTACAGAATTATCTGGAATGCAAGAGGATATCAGTGTACTGCATATTTACAATCTGCTTCTTAATTCTTTTGCATCCTTTCTGCTATTCCCAGTTGTGACTCTCGTAGAGAGTTCAACAGAACAAAGCATGCCCTACGACCCCATGGATATGCAAGAAACTCTTCAAGGTGCTCAACCATACTAAAACTTTTATAATCGATGTACCTTCCAGTTGGTTTCAAGACACACTCAACAAACATAACCAATCCAAGCTTAAATTTATCTTCTCCATTATCACGTGTGTGGAATACTTCTGAAAGCATCCTCATGGTGATTCTTTTACTACCATTAAAATATTCATTTCTAAGCCGATCACTATGGAAATCAATGTCCATGGGGGCTTCGTGACAAGGTAATCCAGTGATAAAACAAAATTCTTGCATACCAAACCTAGCCAAATTGTTATCTAACTTCACCCAAATTTCATTATTCTTACCACAGTCCACAAGTCTCATTATAAATTCATGAACTAATTTACTACTCAATTGTTCTTCTTCTGCTCTGTAAGCAAATCCAAGAATGAATCCATAGAAATCACTATAGAGTAAAGAACATTGTTCATCTGCCTGTATCAATTCCACAAAATCTTTAAGGTATTTGTGGTTTAGTATTGATTGATAGTAGCAAAACCACTGATTTGGAGACAATAAGTATTCTAGAGACATCTACCAAATTATTAAAAAAAAATCTTTCAATAACAAATAACAAAAAGAAAAATAAATAAATAAAATTTTAGATGCTCCGTGCGTGTACGCAACTTACCTTTCTATTGCTCTTTCATCTTGGATTTCATAAACTATGTAGCAAGACAATGATTTTCTACACACTTAGTCTATATTTTCTCCATTTACTTTCATCTACTCAAATTTAAAAAAAAAAAAAAATTATATATATATATATATATATAGGTGTGTGTGTGTGTATGGTTTTGCAATCTTTTTCCATATCTTATATTCTCTGCATTTCTTCTTTCACTAACTCTAAAATCTAAAGTATAAAATTTTGTTCAATATTTTTTTTTGCTTCAAATAAAATTATATTCTCTATACTTACTTTCATTCATTATATGCAGAAGAACCAGCAGAATGATTGAAAACTGCAAGTTAATCCTGACTATCTATCCAAGACAGAGTAATTGGACAGCCAAAGTGGTGGT